CATGAGCTCATGAAAATGCCTGAACTTGTCTTTAGAAGTTCAGAAGTTCTGATTGCAAGAATGTCACAGTAACAAACAATGTCTGCTTTAAGTATTTTTCTCTCACCGAGGGTTTTAGTTGTTTTCTTGCACCTCCACCCTTTAGAACATGCATGACAGTGGTCAGAAGGTGACAGCACAATGACTGTGAGGAGCTAGGTGTTAGAAGAGCTTGTGTGTAGGTTCTGGGATATACCTTTGTACGTGGTCCATCTGATGCTGAACTGGCCAAAATCACACTTTTCTGATGTATTACTGGAGGAAAAACTCATCGTCACCTGCACTCATACTGGTTAGTCATCCTTCTAGATCATTCTCTGGTTTGTGGGACACTGAATCAATATTTACCGGTTAGTTAGAATAATGATTTGACTAGCTATCTAAAGTATTTCTGTTTTGACATGCATGGCTGTGCGCTGATAGACTAGTCTGCAGAGTTGGATGATTTAAGTCCAGAGAGTAAAAGTCCAGACCGGGATTTTGTTTCAACCAACCAGTTGAGCATAAAGAGTCACAGTCACAGATTAGTCAACTGGTTGGTTGGAACAAAATCCCGGTCTGGACTTTTACTCTCTGGACCTGAATTACCCAACTCTGCTAGTCTGATCCTATGCTTCGGTCTACACAAGTCTCTGAAAACATTCAAACATGGTAAATAAATCAACATATTTCTTGCCTCCTTGTGAAGTCACTACTTATGCTGATAGCAGACAGAAGACACGGTGGCTATTTGGAGACCTTGGCTATGCTCTGGTTTCCCCTAAACCAGCTTAAGTCTGTGACCTTTCCACACCCGCGGTCAGATACTCGCAGTTGGCCAGAGTTGAGACATGTGCTAGGCTGCGATCGTCCCATTGCCGTGGGGATCTGGACACCACTTACGTCCGGAGGACCCACTGGCAGACAGGTGACTGCCTTTAAACCCCAACCAGGGTCACATGGACGGCTACGATGTCAACACTCTGTAAGAATGATGACAGGGCGCCGTGACTCAGGCCACAAGAGTGACCGTACCTGTATCAGGCAGGACGTTCTGTTTATCTTCAACAATGAAACCAGGCAACCAATTATCCTCCTGGCACTCCTAATTTCAACGGGGACGTGTTCCTTTGTCAGGTAATAGGGACTAGAAGTTATTTTTCACTGGCAAGTTGGATCGCTGGTGGACTTGATCCAGAAAAAGAAAGAAAAAGGATATAGTTATTCTTCATACTTCAGTTTCACTGAAAACAGAGGAACCTGACATCGTCTTGGCACTTTAGCCATACATGAGTGGAATAAATGCATTTGCCATTAATGCAGGATTCCTTGCTGTCAAGCAACTCTTAGACATAAATTATGTGCTTCTTTTACTCCAGGACAGATTTCAGTCAGCGGCAGGGCTGGCATTGTTGTTGCATACGGAGAGTGTTTCGCTTTAATCGCTGGCGTGGCCATTCCGTGGCCTGTCCGTCGTCACCGCGCTGGACTGCAGAATGTTTCCCTCTTAAAAATCTGCATGTGGCATGTTTCATAGCCCTCAGCCTTGATCTGCGCTGAAGACTGCGGTATGGTTTGATCACGTTGGGATTGCTGCCCTTATCTTAGCTTTTAATCACTTGTACAGCCACACGTGAGCCTCATCAGATTGTCATTGAAATATGGCAACTGCATTTTCTCAGTGGATCAGTATTAGAGTAGTTCGGTCCATAATGCAAAAGTAGGTTTCTCTAAAACATTACATGGCAAACTATAATCTACTCCTTCTCATGGAAATATCTGAATCTAGTTTCCTTGTGAGCCAGTAAATATCTTTTTTTTCTAACTGATATTCTGAAAAAATAAATTGTCATTTTTATATGCTGACATGTTTGCGGACTAATTTCAGGTGAAAGTAAACAACAAAATGAATCAGTAGCTTTGCTGAAATGTTCGGTGATGATTGTTACTATAATACTAGAAGCTAGAATCATAGATAGAACTCTCCAGAATATTACAGATATATGATCCACGGTTAATATCCAGTTGTGTTGATGCTGCTCCTCTTTTCAGGGCTGAACTCTCCCTGACCCAGGGAACCTCTGAAAAGCCCCTCTTGTGTTTAAATAATAGCAATGGGCTGCTAACAGGCCATTGGATGGAGAGTTAAAGGGTCTAATATGATTCAAGAGGAGGGTGATACAGCACTTTACATGCAAACCGCGCGATAGCAATTCTCTGGTAGGGAGAGCCACCCCACCTTGATATTTTATTTCTATTCAAGCTGCGACTAGTTTGTTTTCTTACGATTGTCCTGCTTACTGTCACTGTAGCTCGGCGGGAGCAGACAAAAGTCCTTATATGACAGCTGAACGGCAAACTGAGATTGTCCACCGGATAAACTGTGGGGCCGGTTTTCATGGTTGGGGGTCCGTTCAACAATGTCCAGTTAAACTCTGATTCAATGGGAAGCTGCCATCAGCCTGGCTAGCTGCTAGTCGCTAGGAGAGACATTTTCAGGTCGAGAAATAAACAATCCGGTGTGGAGGGGGAAGGGGGGGGGGCATTCTTTTCTTAATATGGCATCATGAAACAAACACAGCATGTTTCTGTCAGAATGAGGAGGTGAGCGCAGGAATAACATCAAGGCAGGAAAAGCGACCGTAACATGAGCTGTGAACTGTGACTGCACTGGTCACCAGTCATCATAATAATATAACTATTTATAAAAAGGCATAACACATTATAGCCAGTATAAGCCATTATAATGCATTATGAAGGTATCTATAGTGCATTATAGATGAGCTTCATAGAGCATTCATAATAAGCATGGTTACAATGTGTTATGCCTTTTTATAAGTAGTTATAGCTGTGTTTATAATACGTTATGAATGCATTATGACGGTATCTATAATGCGTTATATGTGGCTGCTTTATGTAAAATGTTACACTCCTCATTTGCCACAGTTACCAGGACTGGAGCTGTTCCCCAGAAAGATACTTTGGCATAACTTTTTTAGGTTTTTCACAAGCTAAATGATAATGATTTACCTGGAGGAAAAAAAATGTATAGACCTTAAAGACGTTTATAAATGACCAAAATTCAAAATCCATGGCCGTGAATAACACCTACATCCTCATAAACGTATTTCATTAACTTTTTATTATACATTTATTAGAATTTGGTAAAAAAAAAAAAAAAAAAACTGCTCTGCTATGTGTGTATAAAGAATAAGGAAAGTTATTTCTATAAAAGATGTGAATGCGAAAAAACATGAATGGCAAACATTCAAGCTAACTGTCTCCACGTGCTGCATAAAGCGTTCCTCCCGGATAAGGTAACCTTCAGTATCGTTAGTGAAAGACGGATCAGATTGAGCCAAAATGTTCCACTACAAAGATATAGTTGACATTACGTGGCACTATGGGTGCTTTGGGTGTCTTTATTGGTGTACTGTGGCTGCACAGTTCTGTCCCCATCTCTCTAAGCATCAGTATCGGATAACTTAATAATCTTCATGTAGGTTCACGTGACAAAGAAGTCTCCATAGATGCTTTCAATGTGATTCAATAACGTGCAGACCGAAATATTTCTTTTTGAAGGAGTCGGCATTAAATGCATGCAACAAGTATGTGAGGAACACGTTTCAGTGAGCTGGGACTGAACAAGAAAAGTGAATGTAAGAAAATTTAAGCCGAGAGGACAGCAGGTCGTAGTTCTCGCACACAATTTTTGTTAAACAATCGTGTGCATTTTTTTTTTTTTTTTTTGCATTTCGTCTCCATGTGACAGTTGTCCAGGCGGGGTCCCTGTATTTAGGGAAAAGCGCCGCGCGTCCTTTCTCCCCAGGGATCTCCAATTTACCGTGCCCAAAAAACGGGCAACGCTGCGTCTGAAGCGGCTCCCAAACAGCGGTAATTACATTGATTTACTCGGCACAGCGCTCAGCTCTGTGGACGAAAAAAAGAGAAGTGGGTTTTAAACTTCTTTCATTCGGCCACAATAAATTACATATATGCTCGCAGATTCAGACCAGAAAAAAAGGGGGGGAAAGCGGCTGGTAACTGAGAGTTTCGAGAATGAAAGTTTTGTCTTTCCACACCGATGGCGAACAATAGCGGACAGACGTTCTTTACAAGGTAGATAGGAGGAAAAGTTCAGCTGCATCTATCACGGAGCCTGGACCTGCGGGGATAGGAGGGAGGGACATAAAGGTGTCAGCCTCCGATCTTCATGGAGGGCGTAAATCAGCCGGGTACAGCGGCCCTAAGAGCTGGCCAAGCGGCCTCTGCCAGCAGCACGGCGTGGGCTCTCCGGGTGTCACATGGGGACGGGATGCGGACTGGAGCCCCCGCCCGACTCCTTCAAAGCTCCCACCTGCCTTTGCTGAAGCTTTTGCCCTGTGACGTCTCCATACTGTTTAATTTCGGTGTCAGTTTTGGCGCATGGGATTTTGTATACTCTACATGAACACAACCTGCCTCCAAAAAACGGGATAGGCCTATGTATAGTAGAATACGTAATCTCTCGTGATAACATAGATATAGGCCTAATCTATTTCTGAAAACAAAAGGAGATGGAAATAAAGCAATTTCCCCCTCTGATTTTATTTAGTATTGTCGCATGTAAGAGTTTCTTAGCAAGAATAGCTAGGTTTACCCGACTTCGGTAACAAACATTTCCAAATTTCTGTCATCTGCAAACCGAGGAATACTAAAGCCAAAACTCACCTCACGCACGTGCTTGCTTTAAATTGCCTTTAAGTGTTCATGTTTCACTTCTTTCCTAGGTTAAAATATATCGTTTTCATTTGTGAAAATGAATGGTATTACTCCAAAACTGATTACGTGTGATCTCGTTTCACTTCACGCACAATAAAAAGCCTGTATAACTTCATTGAATAATGAGACTTCACAACTAATTTATACAGCACTGACTGGAAGGGGGGGGGGGTGTACTCATCCCCCACCCCCAAAAAATGTTTATTAAATAAAACAGATACAAATGTCTAATTTAAATAAATTGCATTAAAATACAGAAAGCGGCAACATACAACTACAATACAAATATACATCTCATATACACATAAATGAAATATCTATTATGATGTAGTGCTTAAGTTTTGTTTACAAAAATATTAAACAGTTTATATAAATATCTATAGGATTAATATACAAGTCAGACGTAAAAACGGAAACCATCAGGTGAGTTGAAATATGGCTTGAACAACTCGTATACCAGAGAAGGGGCTCTAATTATCAACATAGCTGCTGAATTTTGTGGGGAGATTGTCCACCGGATAAACTGTGGGGCCGGTTTTCATGGTTGGGGGTCCGTTCAACAATGTCCAGTTACACTCTGCGGTCAGCTCAACCAGGAAGATTTTAAGGAGGACTTTGGCGAACTCCTTGCCAACGCACATCCTGGATCCGCCTCCGAAGGGGATGTAGTTGAACCGCGAAGTGTCTTCCGAGGATTTGGTCATGAACCTCTCCGGATGGAACGCCTCTTTGTTGGGAAAGACCTCAGCGACATCGTGAGTGTCACAGATGCTGTAGATGACGTTCCAGCCCTTGGGAATCTGGTAACCCTGGAGAGAAAAATTACATTACACATCTTTTTTTTTTTTTTTTTTTTAAATGTATATATCCATTAAGTATGTGGGATAGACATTTGGAGATTGTGATGAGACTGCCATATCGACAAGCACAAATGTTTAGCCATGGAATTTCAGTTCATGACCTTATATGGGGAAGACTGTCCCCAAGGGGGGGGGGGTGCTTGATCAAACAGTAACCATATTCCATGAAGCTTTACTCATTTCATTCATGCTTGATCTTTCAGAGAAAGTCATGGCGAACAATAGCGGACAGACGTTCTTGGAGAACGTCTGTTCAGACACAAACATCATGCTAAATAAAGTGTAAATCCCAACCCTTCTATCCATAGACAGAAGAACGCAGCTCTCAAACCTATTAATTTTGTTATTTACTCCACACAAACATCCACATTAAAGGCAGTCTTGGTTTTAAGGCTCCACTTACGTTCAACTCAAACGTTTTGAGGGCCACACGGAAGCCCCCTGGCACCGGTGGGTTTATCCGCAGAGTCTCTTTAATTACACAGCCTGTATATTTCAGCCGCTCCAGCAGCTCGATGCTCAGTGCCCTTTCCTCACAGCAGATGCCAGTTAATCCCTGTGGAACACAAAAGTACATGTATTACACAGGCAAGGAAATTAAATCCAACACAAGAGTTTTCTGGTCAAATTCTAATTGACATTAATTGACTTATGTCTTTACCTTCTCCCGCAGTTCCTGTCTCACATTGTGCGCAACGTTAGGATGGAGACCGAGGAACATCACTAGGGAGGTGGCAGTGCTAGCGGTGGTCTCGTGCCCACCAAACAGTAACTCTGTGGCAGATTCCTTGATCTCCTAAGGAACAGAACAGAGAGGCATTAATACAGATCAGCACAGACACAGTCACTGGTAAGACAGACACTCGTTTCTAATTGCCGTACCTGAGTACTCAAGGGCTCTGCACTCTTCCTGCAGTTCTCAATCAACAGCTGTAGGGCATCTTTGTGCTTGCGCTCATCGGTTCCGTCTTGAATTTTCTTCTTAATATTTTCTTCGATTTTTGAGTGGATGAAATTTCGAGCTTTGAGACCCTACAAGATTTAAAAAAAAAAAAAAGTCAAATTCAACACGTGCCTATAACAGCCTAATAAGCGTTTCCCCTCCAATTTTTTTTTTTTTTTTTTTTTTTTTTTTTTTTTTTTAAAAGCATACCTACCCGATATAATCCGCTGAAGGGAACATCAATCGGAAGAGAGAACAGGTTCTTTATCATTTCCTCAAAAGCTTCCACCAGTTCTTGCTCGTCGGTCTTGATTTGTTCGGGCTGGAAGCCCAGCAGAATCCGAATCGCGATCCGGAACATGAGCCGTTTCATCTCTGGGTACACCAGCACGCAGGAGGCGCTCTGCAGCCAGCCTTTCACTGCGCATCTCACCTCCTCCTGGATAACGGGAACGTATAGCTCCAGGGCATCCCGTGAAAAGGCTTTTAGGATCGCCTGCAAAATAGGGATTTTTTTTTTTAATAAACAGTCAAAGATGAGTTAAACGGCTCGATAAGAGACTCTCTTCGGCCACTGTTAAACTAAACCACTACTACGTACCCGTTTCTTGTTTTTGTGCTGGGTGCCATGCACGTTGGACAGAGTATCCGAGCCCAGGATGGCTCTGACAGACGCCGGCCACTGGACTTCAACAAGTTTATGCTCCCCTAACAGAATCTGCCTCACGTTATCGGCGCCCACGACGCGCACGGTGGGGCTGCCGAAAAGGTGCGTCTTATAGATAAATCCGTATTTCTGACGCTTCATTCGCAGAAATTTTCTTCTCTGGAAAAAGTAAAACACAATTTATATACGTCAACCATATTAAAACTACCAGAACCGATTCGATTAAGTTTCAGAACTGAGTTTACCAACAATAAGCAACGCTTTTAAAAAGCACTTCAAATTTCACAGGAAAAAGGCAGCCCTCCTGGAACAGATTACACTATGATATAATCGGCGTTTTGAAAGGTGATATTTTTACCTGCAAAACCATCTGAAGCGTCTCGCCTAGGAATGGGAGACCCATGGTACCCGGAGGAAGGGGACTCCGACAGTTTGGATCACGGCCACGAATTATGTATATTTCCCACAATTTAACTGCCGCTAAAAACAACAAGATTGGGAGCACAATAGTGCAGAGAAACGATGCGACTAACGTGTAAAACCCCATTCTCCAGTTAAACCAGAGGACTACAATATTAAGGCTGCCAGGCAATCACTGTCTAAGATGCTCAAGTATTTGCCCTCAACTGGTAAGTCCCAATGTTTATACGGCCTTTTATACTCTTTCCCCAGGTCTCGGCCTCTTGTTACCTTGGTCAGATAAATTAGTTCACACAAAGTTCATCTTTAATTGTGGTGTCATCTCGCTCCGCCCACGGTTGAGACGCTGCCTGCAATCCCTCACCATTTGTTATGAGCGCATTTTAATACCACCTCCCGTAGCAGCTAGACAATCCGTGGATTTAACTTTGAAAAGGTGATAATTCTCCGACACAATGGGAAGCATCGAGGCTTCTTTGTAGTAAATATTCCGCAGTTTACACTCATTACTTTGGCTTGACTGCTGTCTGTAATGCCCAGGGCGGGCTTAATTGGACAGCTTTTAAAGGATTTAGATGGTATTCAGCCTTTTACTTAAAATACCCTGGTGCAAATATGAATGTTTTCTGCGTACGCAAATGTGACTGTATGCGCGATCGTGTTTGCTGCAGCCGGCGTTATTTGCTCTATCTAGGTAGCTAATGTCGATAGTTTAATTCGGATTGATCGAGTTCCAGGTAACGCTAAACTGCATTAACCATTTACTAAAATGTTTAAATATGCATCATTTTGCAACGTTCTGTGGTTTACATCATACTTAAGCGTTCATCTGTACAGTTTTATCAGTAATACAGTATTCTTAAAATTAAAGCATTCTTTTTTATAGTCTCGTGAGCACACTCTGGGCTGCACCCCTTTTAGCAGTCTCAAGCATCGCCTGATAACACGAACTGGCTTGGAGCAAATCTTGCAATTATAAGATTAGATTTTAACCCGGCATTTATCTATCTTACTACGTCATGCAGCCAACCAGAAGTATACCAGAGTCTCATCGATATATAAAAGAACGATTGCGGACTTATGGCGGGTTCAGGCTTGGGTCAGTTTGAAAAGTGAGGGAGCAAATCAAGGTTACCGATACATGGAAAGTAAACACTCCGAACCACCGACGGCATTTAGAAGTGCTTTTACGACGGCCATAATGTGGAAAAGGCACGCAAACACCCTTACTCCAGCAAGAGACTGAACGTCTCCAAACTTAACGGCGACATATTTTTGGATTTCCCTTTTTTTCTGGCGCGTCAGACGGTGCAACTAGGAGGGCTACCCTGCATTTCACCTTTGCTTCTCTGTAGTTAACGGTGAAAATAAATCATGTCACCGATAGGTTTCCCAGGAGCATTGTAAATACGCAGCACTACGCATTAAATGGATTGGCATGTTGCATAATCTCAGCAGAACTGCATTCTCAAACCATCCATTTACCTGTTGAAATTTTCCAAAACAAGCCGCTGCGGTTCTCTAAGGGGATTAATGGAATAGGGTGCCTTACAGCGCCCAACAAGTGTGAAATAGTTCAAATGCTATCATATCCTGCTCCACCCAGTCCGCCCAGATGCTACCTGAAGTTCAAGTGGAGTTCATTCGCACTGTAAAAGTCATATCTAACCAACGCCAATGGCTTGTGACTGTCGTAACTTTATGTAGGTTAATGTAAAAGTCGCCGAGCCGTCAAATGAAATTGCAATCGCACCTGCACCTAAAGAAAAATATATCGCTTGTATTTTCCCATACAAGGCTTTTACATCATGTAAATTAAGACAACCACATAAAAAACAAACATAGCCGCAATGTCACCGGAAACTTTATATATGGCTCTGTTGTCATTGTTATGATCAATGCCAATGGTAGATATTAAATCTGATTTATAATTGTGACTTTCACCGATAGAGGAAATTAAAATGCATTTGACGTTTTTCTATAACCTTGTTAATTTTGTTTTTTATTATGGTACTAAGGTCCGCATGATTTCGTTAAGTTGAAAAACAGTGTTAGCCGGACGATTGCAGTCATGCGGCTTAATCAGCTGCGGCGGATAAACGCGCTTCGCTTTTTAGCGCCTTGTGAGAGGGAGCCGCTCCGTGACCGAGGCCATCGGCGGCGATTCGCGCCGCGGAGCCCAGCGCTGCCCCCGGGGCGCTTCCCCATTTCCAAGCGCTGACCTGCTTGTGACCTACGAGCGCGGACCCTGACATCTCTGTGAACTGCGGCGCAAAGATCGCCAAGTTCACTGTCCATCAAATAACGAGATACGGGGACCCGGGGGCTTCAGGAACTGCAGCACGGAGCCCTTTATAATCCTCACAGTGATCTATTCTCTTACCGGCAATCGCAAAAAAAAAATCAAATAAAGGGCATAATTAGAACCACTTAGAGTAATCGTGTAATTGGGTCAAGGGATAAACAGTCTTCACTTGTTTATAAAGGAAGTTTTAATTGGAGCAATAGCTTAGTAGAAAGAGTGCTCACGATTCTGAACGATTTTCAAAGACATTTATTTTTAACATGTCTTGGGCGTACGCAGGCAGTATAAAACCGATCCTAGGTGTAATACCAACAATAAGACTGACATGTACGTCTTTAGAATAATTTTGAAAAGATATGAAACATTGAGTTTACATTGACTAGGCTATTTGAGCCGAAGTCTTAGCCATGCAAATGAATATTTAGCACCTTGAAATCCTTTCTTTGTTTGAATACAATACGCACCACGGTATGATTTTTCATGTTTGCACTCAGTTGATGTTAGGCGTCGCTAACAGCTGGCACCTCAGGAGAGGGTCAGGAGGGCACAGCTTAATGGTTCACTAAAGGGTCACCCTACCAGTCGTTACTGAAGGTGCAACCTTTTACAGGTGCCCTTTCACTGATCTGAGCTGATATGATAATTTCCCCGAATTCTAACACGTGTCATTTTCGTCAGGTCTGTTTTTGTCGATACAAAGACGTTTTACTGCGTGTATATTACTCTCGGGAGACCGTCGCACCCATTTTTACGTAAATGAGAAGGTACGCGGCTCGGCATGTGTAAATGAGATATTTGCTTTCCAGTCATCTCCCCGTTGAGAAACGGACGTGAATTATGTCAAAAGAATTCACATAGTAATATAATTTATTGATGACGCAGTTGGGCGATTTCCTTTTTGTGTTTGAGATCGCAATTGCTTAACAGAAAACTGTTTCAGTCAGGAAAATAGTTCAATGGACATTTACAGCCATGTCTTTACTTGCGGTGTTATATACAATAAAATTTCTTTCTTGTTCATTTTTTTGAGATACTGTACATACAGATTTTTATTTCAGTGTCCGGAAACATAGAATAGATATAGATAACCAGGAACACTAGAAGTACATTTTCATTCAACCAAACCTTAATTATACACATTGGATTACTACAATTGTGAAATTGTCATGACAACTGCACTTTTCACCCCCTATTAGCCTGCCTAGCTAATGTCATAGTGCAGACATTTACGCCTGTAAAGCACATCATGAAGATGGATGTAGTTTCAGAAACCATTAAACTGCTGTGCCTGTTTGCCCCCACGACAGAAATACCTTATCAATTAGAATTAAGTAATTCGGTCACAGTGACCTATTATGTCCCGGTATTACTCCCTATTTTATGTAACATGATTGGTCAAACTATCCGCAATTTGCGTTATTATTACTATTATTTTTTTTCCAACCGATGTGAGAAAAAATTACAGAAAAAAAACGTAGAAAACTTGTTCCACTGCAAAAAAACCCAAAGCGTTTTATTTTATTCTCAAATATTTGCAAACATTACAGCTGTCATGATTTGCAGTTAAATTGGGCAGCTACGGTACACCCGTTGAGGTAGATCTCGTCAGTTAACTCTTACTTAAACTACTAAAAGAGGCAAGTCAGATCACAAAGCGACTTAGTTATGTTACATATAGGCCTACAATCCTATAGCTACATTCCCCTGTCGTGTTTATTCTGAACTCTAATTCATTAATTAATGTGTTTCTCAGTTATTTTTGTAAAATAAACAGAATTTCAGAAACTACATCACTGAATAAATGCAGCAAATATACACTCAGTGGCCTCTTTATTAGATACTCCTACCTATAGTACCCAATAGGACCCACATTTGCCTGCAGGATCTCTTCAAGTGTAGATAATTTGCGTTCAGAGAAGCCATTCTGCACGCCACTGCTGGCGTGTTGTGCTGAGCTGTTACTTGTGTCCTTCCTGTTAGCTTTAACGAGTCTGCCCATTTCCCTCCAAACCCTCACATTAACAAGGTGTTTTGACCATAGAAACGGCACTGGCCGGCCGGCTGGTTTTTGTTAATCACCCCATTCTCTGTAAACTCGAGACACTGCAGCGCGCTAAAATTCCCAGGAGGGAGACTGGGTCTGAGATTCAGCAGCAACCACGTCTGGCGTCAACAATCACACCACGTGGTTTCTAACACAGCATGTCAGCCTTTTGGTCCTGGCTGCATGGTGTACAGATTTAGTTTCGCATTTGGAGGATCAGGCTGTTTAAATAAGTAAGCAGGTGTACCAATTAAACTTGCCACTGTGTGTGTATTTATTAATATTATTATTATTATGATGAAACAGCACATATTCATCGGATGCCAACTTTGAGGAAGATTAAGTCACTGAATAAAAAACATGCAATCTGAGCGAACCTAAGTATCCCATAGATTTCCCATAAAGCTACTGTAATTCATGTACATTGGATATTGAATGTTTTTATGGGGCCGGCTATTGAACCTGCCGCTACTTACCCGGCCAGATCATTCATCTGCCGAGTTGGTCCCCGAAGCCCCCAACTCCCGTATAACCAGTCACGTGCTTTCCTCTACTCCAGAAGTCGACAACTCCAATACATATAAATAATTTAGAATGATACTTCAGTTTTTATATTTAATATGTACAAATAATATACAGCAACAGCACCCAGTTTCTCTAGAGGTGTCTCTCTTGGCAGTTTGTGTAATTAAAATAAACATGAAGTCCGTTCACGGGATGAACAACCGGCACAGTTTGCATCTTGGGGAATGTTTCTGTCGCGAGTCTCCAGTCTGCAGTGCGCATTAGCTCCACCGTCAGGATCTTCAGTATGACTCGAGCCAGTTCCTTCCCGATGCAGCTCCTAATGCCTCCGCCGAAGGGCACGTAATGGAAGCGACCCGATTTGCCCTCGTCCCTCTCCGGTCCAAAGCGGTCTGGGTCAAACAGCTCT